ATTAAATCAGATTTGTAACATTAATCTTGTAATTTTCTTATTTGTATTTAAAAATCATCACCAAACCCCTGAAATGGATTTCTGGGATCCTGTGTTTAAAATGTGGCGTTCAGTGAGACAGTAGTACGAGTTTCAGGGACTGTTAGGCATGAAGCTTCGTGATGTTTGGAAAATAAAAGAAGCAAAAGGCAGTTGAATAGTTTTTATGATAAAACCTTTGAATAAAACACTGATAACAAGAGCAGAGATACATGACCATGTCTGCTGCGTGCGGTGGAGACGTGCTACGGTAAGCGTATTGATCACACCGGTTTACTTCCTGCTCTGTGTACACTTTTGGTGTTGTAGCTGGCATTGTGTGAACGCTAAATATAAACTTGATTGATTTACTCGTTACAGCGGTTATCTTCCCGCTTAACACTTTAAACGTAGACTAGTTCTACCTTACACTCGTAGGCTAACTTACCTTCCTTTGCTTTTGTGTAGCGAGCTGGCGTTTCGCGTATTTTCAATTTTCACAGGTCGCAGCACGCTACGGTTAGCATTACCAGAGCACTAGCAGTTAGCGATGGCTTCTCCCTCTTCCTCTCTCTTTCACCTGCCACCGATGCACTTGAACTCGCTCGCTCTCTGTGTTAGCTATTCCTCAGCCTACTTTTATACTTACATGATAATGGTACCATGTCATTCAAGTGTTAAGGAAGAGGAAGAGGAGGAGGACATTTAACTAGTTTAGTACGAATAATATGAACTGAAAACAACATAAATAAATGTTTATTTATATTTATAATATTATTTAACATTAGTTTTATTTGAGCTCTGTGATGTTAATGGCGTTTTTTCCCGCGCTAGGTCGCCATCTTGCGGAGCAGCTCGGTAGTGAAAATGCAGCAGAATCTAAAATGGCGTCCGGAGAAACCAACAAGAGCCGCAGTCGGAGTGAATTTAATGATAACGGCAGAACGGACCGCCGCCGACACAGGTACAGACTCACAGTCAG